GCTTTTCTGGGATTCAATGTAAGAGAATTTTTTTTTTCAATTTCTATGGCAAAATCGAGCCTGCTTCCAAGAAAAAAAGTTTTGCCAAAATATTACTGAGATTTGGTTACCTAAGGACATTTTTGTTTATTAAACATGGGCAAAGCCTTTAATGAAAAAATAGCTTGAAACTGTATCTTACAGTGTATTTTTCTTATTTGATTTTTCAACCTGGAAAATTGTTTTGGCTAATAAAAATCAGTTGAAAATTTTTGTTGGAGGAACAGATAAATTATGCAACTTAAAGTCAGAGAGTAACTTAGATATTAAAATAATAAACACTGTCTTGTCTTTCCACTTATAAAATGGCTCTTGAAATCAGCCATTTTAATCCCATAATAAGAAATATTTTTTAATTCTGGCTGTATGTAAAGTACGAGAATGATTTTTAGACTTCCTTTGCCACACTAAGTAATGTGTTTAATAGTGCAGATAGCTATTGGAAGGCAAGATGCTAGAGCCTTCCCCTGCTAGCTGTTAATTCAACTGTAGATCGGTAAAGCTTTAACATGAGTCATAGCTTTTATCTACTTTGATGACTTAGGGCTCTGTTTTCAAACTATTGCCTGCCTAATGGACACATATTTTACGCATCTTGCTGAATTCTTACCTGTGCATGGTATTATCCAAATACCTTGTAAAACTGATTGCAGAAGCTCTCCAGGATCCTTATAATTCAGCACACAAAGCAAGTATGCAGATCTAGAAGAAAAGATAGCTTGTGTTGCCCTTTTTCTTTATGCTGTGCTACTAACTATGTTTCCATGAGACTGTGAAAAGTCTTTTGTGGTTTAAAGTGCACTGCAGATCTTTCAGACTTTAAGGTTAATGTACTGGCCTCATATTTATCTAATCCCAAACTATAGAGATAACTGAATTGTCTCAAGAGTAACTAGATGACCATGCATTTGTATCTTTGAATACATCTGTCTGTGCTCATGGCGGAGAAATCAGCTGGTTTTGCCTTTCTCTGTGAATATGTGAAACTCAGATTTTACAATATTCACCCAAGCTTAGCCTGCAATCTTAACAGGCACAGTGTGATCAAATGGAACCAGAACACTCCATCAAGATTTTGGCCCAAAGGAAAGCCACATCAGAAACTGCCATTAAAATTCCTCTTGCTCTTTCCAGTTTTGCTGCTAATCTCTCCTTGGTTTTTATTTTAATTTTTTGCCTCTCCTACTGATGTTCTTCTAATGCTTGGCAAGGTGCAATTTTTCTGGAGTCTATTCTTACTAGTAAATGTAAAATTTTACATGTAAAATTTAAAGCAATATAGAAATCTTACAAGCAGCTGTATAAAATGGACCTTACCCAGTTGTGTATCCCAGAAAATGAGATGGGAATATACATGCTCCATACAGAGTGCTGTGTTAGAGGAAGAGAGGCAAATTATGAAGGAATACGTGATATAACCAGAGTACTGCTTAGATCTGTGTAGAAAAATAACAGATAGTTAGAAATGATTATCATATTGAGAACGTGAATCACAAAACGAATGATGTGTTGGGACAAGGGCAATCTTTTCGATTATATAATACTGGTCACAGTGGGGTACCTGTCACAAATGAATGCTTCAGGGCAGTGTGAGAAAAGTAGTACAGAAAAGGAATAATAGCATGCAACAGCATTGGTGAGGGAAGAATAGGCAACTTAAAAAAGGTTGAAAATGGAGAGTTCAGATTTGCCTGTGTTAAGTTTGTTTGGATGGAAATTTCTGGCAGGTGGCTCATTTCTGCTGGTAGTCTCCAATTTTTTCTGTGCAAGACTCTGTGGATGCTTTCACTTTAGCGAATTTGTCCTCAGTATCATTCTGCTCTGTGTTGGTAAGCAGCTGACAACCATTGTGCCAAGATGAGCTTGATGAGTTGTGTTTGTTCTAAGACATAAAGTGAATGTATTGCACTTGACTGTTGAAGTCACATTATAAATGGTACCAGGACTGTTCTTTCTGTTAGCACCAAAATAAGACTCCGTGTGGTCAGCCTTGTTATTCTCACTTGGGATTTTGTTTTTCTGCTGAAGAATTTAAAAATGAAGCTCAGCCCTGTTCTCTCTTCAGTGGAACTTTGTTCAGTGATACTAATGGCAATTTTAACCCTAAACAACTGTAATGATAGTGCCTCAGTGCAACCCATTCTCAGCTTGTTAATTTATACAGATGGGATGGGTACCTTTCATTATACTTTACAGCTGGGGACACTGATAGGGTGAGTGAACTAAGCTGCTGTCTTCTGGCAAGTAACGTACAGAACAAAGTCAGGGATCTACTTAACTTCCCCCTGTGCTATAGGTGGATGCCACAATATCCTCTTTAATAATCTGAGTAAAGATTATGTGTTGAATTAGAGAAATTAACTGTGATGAAGATCTCAGGCCCCTCCTCCTCCCATATTAAGATCTTTTCTCAACATAATTGCTTTTTTTTTTTTTTTTTAAATAAAGAAGGCATCAGCTGTTACCATCTTGAGATCAGATAAATGTAACTTCTATATATACTTCTGTATATAGGATCCTCTGGATTTCAATTTGCTAACTTCCGAACTACAGTAAGTTTTTACTAAATGTTAAGTTGGTATCCTTCATTAAGGAGTATCTTGTATTGTTTCTCTTATGAAGACTCTTGGGAAGTAACATACCAGTTAGCATGTGTTAGATTATCAGAAATTGGTGTTGAAAAATTTACTTGAGAGGAAAGCTTAGAAGATCCTTATCAGTTTTAATTAAAGGGTTATAAACCTCTAATTTATTTTCTTTTGGTTTAAAAATGTTTTTACTTTAAAATTGGAATTGGTTATATTTTATTTGTGTAATTTAAAATTGTGTAGTACCAATTGTTTTTCTTTTTTAAAAAAATATAGCTGTGATTAATAGTATATATATCTATAAAGGTGAGTTCATGGTTCTACATACGGTTTTGTGACATTTTTCTGTGTTCCCTTTCACTGTATGTGAATGGCTTGAATGTGTATCTCTGCAAATGAAGGGGAGGTAAAAAAAATTGTTCATCTTGGTAGATTTATATTATTTTAATTTAAGCTTCAGTTCCATTACTTTTTGATTAAACATACTTCTGTCTGGTACTATCCATCTTTATCACTATGAAATCTGTTCCCAAACAGAAAGAAAGATAGCATCTGAATTATGCAGAAATCATTTTCTATCTACTTTTCTTCAAATGCTGGGCAGACTTTTTTGTAATCCCACCAATATCACACGTGTCTTGTTCTAATGCCTTGCCTATTTCTGAATATTTTACTGTCAAATCTTGGTCTTTTGCTGTTTGTTTTTAGAGGAGTGTTTTGTCCTGGATGTCATTTTCTTTGCATATAGCTCAAACTTACTGATTCAAGGATGGAGAACACTGAGTTATCAGTAGCTCTGAAAAGTTTTTGACTTTCGATTTTTAAAGTGTTGTTGTAGTTCATGAATTTGTAAACAGAACGTTAAAAGCAAATCAAAAACAATCATGGTTTGTTTATTGCATCACTATGAATTTGTATCAAATATTCTAGACCAACAACCAGTCAAAAGCTTGATGATGACAAGGATAAATACTATAAATAAGTTTTTTTTCCATAATTATATATTGACCTGTTAGGGTTATGTGATTGATTAGTTTTATTGTTTGCATAATTTTATTCACAAAAGTGTAATTGGTAAAGTACAATAAGAAATATAATTTGTAAGTCAGGAGAGAGAAATTCACAGCCTTCTACAGTGAATTAAATGAAATTTTACCATGACGTGCAGGTGATCACTACCAAATGTCTTGGTGAGCAAAAAGCATGAGCACTGTTACCATGGCCAGTACACTGCATTATGGTCACAGGCATTAGTTGAGACCTTAAGCCAAGTTCTGTGTTTCACCTTCACATACATTAATGGTTCTTCTATGGAAACGAAAACACCATGTGTGCAATGCCTTCACTCCAAGTATAAGAGTACAAAATTAAAGGCCACCTTCCTTGTTTCAGTTACTGTATGCTCTTGCAGGTTGGTGTCATGCCAGGTCAGAGAGTGGATTCATGGCTGTTTGATAAAATTGCAGTTTTTCTACAAAATTCCAGTCAATTCTCTATTTTTTTCAGAACGGAAGAGTAGTGACAGGTGTTTCCCTGCTGTCGTCTTCTTGTGCACATAAACTGTAATTTCTTTGGTGGTAGCTTCTCCACAGCCCACAAGCCAGTTCTGGAGCTGTTTCCTGTTTTGTAGGATCCACCATCCTTATCTTATCCCCCCTTTCTTGTTTTGTCTATCAGAACACTTATAGTTTGTTTCAGGAAAGCATGTGCCTCTCTTTGTGTACCAAACAGGCACCAGAATGCTTTATTGAAGCAATGAACAATTTGAAAGTAAACTACAGGTGTTAACTCGTTATTGCTGACATCTAAATGAACACTATACAATTTCTTTCAAACCCTTTTGAACCATTTTGGGTCTTTAATCCTCATACAGATTCTTATTTTACTAAGGTACTTACTTTATGTTCTCTGGCCACGATACTTAAAAACAATGCTTTTGACTTCTTTAGACTGTATATAGCACCAATTTTTTTCTGAAGTTCTAATTCACTCTATATTTCCTTTTCGTAATGTTAGCTTTGTATATCCATGGTGTTTGTTACAGCTTTGAATTTTTGCATCTGCTGAAGAAGACTTAAGATCAAACTTTCTCATAATGGACTCTTAAACTCCTTAGCTGTTATTAATATTATGTAAAAATGAACAAATGGTCTTCACTATACAGGAAATTGTTTCATACTTTAGTCTTGCATGTGTAAAAATCTAAAGAGCTTTCAAATACTTGCAGTGCTGCTTTTCCTTGCTTCTAAAATTACTGTTTGAAATAAACACACACTTTAAATAAATCTTGAAAGTCAGTAATTAGAAGATTGCCTTGTTAAAATTATCTTCATAATATATTTAATGTCATGTTTGCTTATTTTCCCAATGTAGGTGTCCGCCTAGATAGAGTACGTGGAGGTCGCCAGAAGTACAAGCGCAGAATAGATGCAGAGAATAGCCCATACCTGAACCCTCAGCTAGTTCAGCCAGCAAAAAAGCCATGTGAGTACACCAGATAAATGAAATTTCTCTTTGAATACAAGTAATTGACTCGTAGCCCTCTTTTCTGGGCTCTTTCTGATTGGGGCAAGATTGTGGGCAGAAGATATTACCATGAATGCAGTAGCCATTTGGCTGTTAACCTACTTTGTTTTAAATATGCTCATCCTTTCTCAAGCAGAGTCAAACACGGAACGTTCTTACCAGTGGAAGTGTATAAAAGTATCATTTATGCAGTGCAAATGTTACATTTATGTGTTATCTTTATTTTCAGTAGTATATAAAATGGTTCATACTGCAATCATTAGTTCATTGAAGCTTCTAGTTTCAGATTTCACAAGAAAGTGATTTTTGTAGTTTTCACTAACTAAATGAGTTTGACTGCTCAACATCCCAATGAAAATACATTAAGAGCCTCATTAATTTATACTCATAGATTAACATATTACCTAGCATTAGATTAAAACAGCAATATGCCACACTATTAACAAGCATAGACTGGTTGTTAGGGCTCTAGTACACTTATAAGCATTATGGTGTTTTTTGTGTGTATTGTTTTGTTTTGTTTTCATGGCGTCCTTGATTTTATCTTGCCAGGCTGAAATTAAAAGAGAGAGAGAGCTGATCATCTCATTGCCAAAATACAAGTTCCATCCTCTTTGCGATTAACTAAAAATAGTTAGGGGTTTTGCTTTGCAGCTTATATAAACTCAAGCAGCGACTGTACTAATTCCATGAAGTAAATTTAATAGCATTATAGCTGTAGTGCAAGATGCTCGTGTGTTAGCCTGCAAAGGCATACAGTCTGTATCAATGGCTGTAAACTTACTTCAAATTCAAATCAGAATTCACACATCCAGTTGCTTCTGTTGCAGATGTTAATTTGCTCTTAAAAATAGAGAAATAAACCAGACAAATAAGGAAAGGATACTTCTTCTTTTGCATTTCCATCTGCCTCTGTGCATCTGACAGAAAAAGACAACACGCACATCAATTTTAGTCTATTGAAAATACCTGGCTGTATAGAAAACAGAATTTGTTTCAGAACGTGTTCCCCAGTAGGGGACAGTGCTGTGTGCAATACGTTTGAGCATATGGGGTTCTCGAGAGCAAATAAACAGTCTTTGAACTGTAAGTGAAAGGGCATTTTAGCTGTGTCAAAGAAAAAACAGCCAGTTTTATATAAAATTAAGGCTTAAGTGAACATATGGCATAGTTTCCTTTTGCCTTTCCAAAAAACATTATGCTGATTATATTCCTTCAATTGTCCAATCTGGCATCTTCTACTCAGCCTACATAAGCTGTCCCACCGTTCTGTAAATACAATCTAGGGCTGCACTAAGCAGATTTTGCACATTATAATAAAAACTTTCTGATAATACAATAAAATTTAATAAACTCTAATGCTTAATTTCATTAGAGGTTTAGTTTTCCTGGGTGCACAGATTGTCAGTTTTTCATTTACTTGATATTGTCATTGAGTAGAAATGCTGATAGCCTAGCATACCAAAAAGCCAAAACCAAGCAGGGAAAAAAATCAACAAAAAACAACCCCAAGCCCTTTGATACAAAGGAGGTTAAAACTCTTGTGCTGAAACACAAGAATCTCTGTAAACCCGAGATTACTGCAAAGTAGTGCATTACATTACCTCTAAGATGATAACTACACCAATTTCTGTAAGCTCCATTTGTCTGAGATAAACTAACCTCCTTATAAATCATTACTCATTATCTGAATGCCTCCCTTCATTTTCCTCATCTTGTCTAATTACAAACATTTTTGTAACAAACATTTATAAAACTTAATTTTCAGATCCTGTCAGATAAGTGTCAAGGCTTGAAACAGTTGAATCGGTTTTGTGTGGAAGTAGCCTGGGAGATTTTCTGGACCCTGACTGATAGTTCGTGCATAACAAAGGCACGGGAATGAAAATTGGGTTCTATTGATTCTAATTAGGGAAACATTAAATAAGATTTACCTAGAAACAGTGCTCATGGCTATTCAATTTCCTGAGTGATGGGGCTTTCTGAGTTCATTCAGAATTTTCCGATGTCGTATACTACCGCATGCTTCAGTACATGTAGTTCTTTTCCCTACAGTGAAAGATCAGGTGTTTGGAAGATTTTGTGTCCTGTATTCTGTTTTCCAGCTTCACCATGAAATCTCATCGCCTGTCTGTAGATCTTGTTGATTGTGAAAGTAAAAGGTTTTGAGATTTTTGAGTCATAAACCAAAATATACAATATTATTGAATCATTTACAAAAAGCCATTGATGTGGAGCCTCGTTTTAAAAATGAAAAAAAAAAAAAGTTATTTAGCTACTGCTTCTGTTTATAGGGAAAATACAGAACTTAGGAACATGAGTACTTTGTCATTTGTTTATCACTAGTTAAAAAAGCAACAAACTTGAGATTCTCAAATTTATGTTTTGATATTTAAAAGTTATTTTATCTTACTTTGCAAAAATATAAAACTGGAATTTTGAGCGAAGCACTTTTTTCTCACTTAAAAACATGATGAACAGTGTGTAAAACTAAAAAGGCTAAGGAAAGACTGCTTATAAAAATAAAAAAAAAGATATGCAAAGGCTTTTTGCCAATATAAGTTAAAAATTACCATCTGTCATCTCTAAATAAGAGTACAATTTCTCATTAATCACTTTGATAATCAGTAGAATATTGAGATCAAGAATTACTCAGTTGGCATAGTTCCTATAGTTTCTATAAAATATGAATATATCCTCTTGTAATAAAACATGCTTGATGTGATGGTTTCCAGTTGGCTCTTCTGTGTAGTACTTATTTTATGAAGGGCTAGCATATATCACAACTTCTGACACACAAATCTGGAATAAGGCAAAAATTGTAGAGACAGTAGATCAGAATCAAGGAGCCTATGTCACAAACTAGCCATAAAGTATCAGAAATCAGAATCAAGTGAGTGTTTTATGGAAATCTGTCATGGACTGATAGGGAGCCCCTCTGACACTTCTGGGCAAGTCACTTCCCTGCCAGCTTGCACTGCATTTCTCCATAGGAGGACAGTGTGGTCCAGCTTGTGACAGAAAAGGAAAATAATACTAATATTAAGAGCTTTCTGTGCAGTGCTTTGTATCTTCTCCCAGTGGAATCTCATTTATATCAAGCTCCATTATTCTTTATCATAAGAAAGGAGCCGATTAGTTTAAATTCACTAAAGGGTGCTGTTTGGGCTTGAATTTCTGGTGGTGCAATTGAGGTCAGAAGATACCATAAAAAGGTTTAAAAAAAAAAAAAAAGTAAATATATTTGGAATTAAAATAATCTGTGCTGCATTAGGAGGCTTGATGAATTAGTTAATTTTCCCATTTTTCAGTTCTATTCTCTCAGAGTGACAATTCAGGCTCCTGCATGATGACAAGATATTTCCATTGTGGCTGTATGTGGCTATAATGCTCGTTTTTTGTTTCTCTTAGTATAGAATGGCAACCCTATGCTGTAAATCTCCCAGGCTTTTCCACTCTTTGCTTTCAGTTTTACTTATAACTTAATTGTTTATTAAAAAAAAATAAAATATTATGATTCATGTGGATGAAAAGTAAATTTTAAACACATGAATTAAAATGATATATAGATAAAAGATAATACATGTATGTATATGACAAAGTATCATTCTTTGCACAAAAACAGTTTTCAAAGGTAGGATCTAAATCTGTTCTTTTTTCTACCTAGTTTTGCACTCTTCAATCTCATTGGTTTTATTAGATTTTCCCAACTGGAAGTGAGAAATCATCACTCTATTTTTAAATATTTATACATTTGTACTTAAGAAGCTGATTTTATACATGATTCTAAATATGTGTGCATTGCTGAAAAGCAAGTATTTGACTATACCCACTTTTCTCACAGGATTAGGCCCTAATGAGGACAGGTTCATTACCAGTATTTTAGCAGGCATAATACCCATAACATACAATATACAGGATAATAAGCACTGAGAAAGTCTAGGCTCGCTTCTATTACAGTGGTTCAATGAGAACACCTGAAACAGAGAATGACAGTTGGAATCACTGACAGAAGTTGCAAATTTCACGGACTAAATAATTATTTTATTACTTTATTATGAATTACCATACCAAATGCTGTTGGTATGGATATTTTGGTTTTGAAGGTAATCAGACAAAGGAAAAACTTTTCTATTTGCATAGTCAAAAATGCATTCTAATGCATGAAGGAGTTGATCACATATTTCTGTGTTCCATTAAATTTACATTTTTACATACACGTCTAGTTCAATAAACATTGTAAATGGATCAGATTTGTCTGTGCTGTAACTGCTTGTTGGAGCCAGTGAAACTGCAATAACATTTAATTGGGTCCCATATCTTAAGACAAATTCTTATGTGCATTGAAACATGAGCCATCTGTTTGAAAAGTAGAATGATGCTACTCGTGATCTTGTACTGTTCTGGGCCATTTTTACAGATAACAAGATTGTCTCCCATTTGTTGGTGGCTGAACCAGAGAAGATCTATGCGATGCCTGACCCCACTGTTCCAGACAGTGACATCAAAGCACTTACCACTCTTTGTGACCTGGCAGACAGAGAACTGGTGGTGATCATTGGATGGGCTAAGCATATTCCAGGTACGTACAGTATTTATTGCAAATAAATTACATACATAAATCATGACATCCATTGTTATGCTCTGGTTAAAAAAAAAAAAGTGATTTGTTCTCCCAGTACAATGCATAAAATTTTCTTAAGGCTCCAGATTATTCACGTAGGACATGGGTTAGATGATATTATATCTTAGCTTGGAAATGGTATTATTCTTGCTATGAGTGTTACCACAATTGCAATTTTTACATGCCACTTAGTGAGTCAGGTTTTTTTTCTTTCATATGTTATTTTTATTGACATAAACTTTCTACCGGAGCCTGATATGAAGAGTAGTATAGGCACTCTGAAGTCATCATCTAATTCAGCAGGAGTCAAATGTAAATCTAGCTCATCTTTTACAAAGACTATGCTTCCTTACACTGACCAGAGGAACTGCAAAAAGTCAGTTTTGTTTTGGCATGGCACAGAGGAATTGCTCTTCCTTAAATTAGCTAGTGTGAGATCTGGTTTGTATCAACAGTTCAATAGAAGTAACTGAATTGTACCAAAAGATATCTTCCAATAGCTTGGCCATTCCTTTGTCTGCATGAAATGGACTGGGTTCTCTACATGCTGATGTTTGTAAAGCTACCTGGCTAGGAAAGCAGAGTCATCAACAGTAGTCTCTTGCAAGATCAGTGATTTCTTCAGGTAATATTTGGGTTATGTTTTCCATCAATGCAGAGGTATTTGTATCTCTTCTGAGGGTAAATAAACAAGTTTGTAGGGAGTATCCAGGATTCTCAGTCTGACGCCTTCCACAAATGGCAAAGTAGCACAGAAAATAGTCTGTTTTTTTTTTTTTTTCTGATGGTATTTTTCCAGTCAAGCAGATAAGTGGGCATGTTTGTGTTTTCATCAGCTTATTGGTTTTCTAATTTCAGTAATGAAGCCTATAGAGAATAAGAACTGATTTTCTTTAATTCCTTTGAGTAATACAATTTCCTCATTTTCAACGTGCTTTTGGGATACCTAAGATTACTTAAAGAGTAAATAGTGCAGCCAGTCATCTGTTTATTATAGCTAAATGTATTTTATTGTTAACATCAAAAGAAATTACAGAGAAATACTCATCTGTTATTAGTAGAAACAAAAGTGAGAGCATTGAGTCTTCTTCATACAGATAGAACACACAGTGTCTATACTCTAGTTTTTTACCTCTTTCTAGAATTCCCTGATATTTATCACTGAACAAATATTAGGTAAGGATTGGCTCTTCTTGGGTTTTGGGTTTCTGTGTTTTTCCTTTATGACAAGCAGTCAAGACCTCAGGTGTTCTGATAGGTGCTTCTGAGTAATCTCTGATAAATGAGACACTAACAAATAGTAATAATAAAATAATGCGTATGTTTATGGAAACTTATTTAGCTTTAGATGAAAAGACAACAGCCTACAGATTGTAAAATAGTCTGTAGGCCACACTGTTGAAATTTAGTCATTCTCTGCTGTAAGTGGTGTATAAACAAGCTTTTGTATCACAAGCAGTGTTTTTCTGGTACAGTTAACTTATTTCTGTCTCCTTAAACTAGTTTGTCTTTATGCTTTGAATGCTACAGTAATTTCTTTAATCAAATTGATGGAAGTCCCTTTCCCAGCCCACAGTGAAACCAATTTATTGGTCATGATACGCCAGCTATGTTGCTAACAGTCGTAACGAACTGTCAGGCAATATCGCAGTGAAGCTAATTTGAAGTCATTAGGTGTGCAGCGTTCAGGCAACAATTTGTTACAGTGGTTAGGAACACAGCTGACATTTCTGAATGGCTTTGTTCAGAGCAGTTCTAGATGAGCCCAAGCAAATTGTAAACTAATTTAAACATCACTCTATATTATACTAGCTACTTTGTCTTACACTGCTTGCTAATAAAGCACCCCAAATTAAGTCAAAATGAGTTAAACAGGTGAGTTTGAGCTTCATCTTTGGAAGATACCCACATCACCTTAGCCAAAACAGAACAGTTCTCAAAGAAGTCGGTTACAGTCTGTAGCAGTTGCGAAGAAACTTTTGTCAGCTTGATTTGTGATGTGTTGCATAGCTTTAGTTTGGCTGGAGAGGTAGGAAGAGCAGAGAGAGAAGTCTGAGCAGCTTTAACATGATGTCTTTGGTTAGCATGAAGATGGTATTGGATGCTCTAAAGTGGCTTTGCAAATTTAAAGTCTGAACTGGTCGAAGAATATTTCTGACGTGAGACAGGTCTTTATTACAGGGTAAACTCAGCACACCTGCCATGGAAAACCATAGCGAGTTTACTGACTTGACATTATTTAGATGTGGAAAAAAAACTTACCACAAAAAGCAATCTGTTTATAAGCCTTCCGGTAACAGAGGGTAGTGATAAAATCTCTGCTTGTTGTCTGGCATTCGATCACAAAAATCAAAATGCAAAAGGCCTTGACATGGTAAAGGGCAAATGTGATGAGCTGTTATAGCCTGTTTTGAGTGATGGTGTGCTGCTAAACTTGCATTGCATGTGCTCAGTTGATGCCTGGTATAAAGCAACTTGTAGAAAAGCCCAGATTGATGCTAGCTGCCCATTGTCTGAGCTAGCAAATGTTAACCTGGACAGTAAAGGAACAGAACTGGAAAGAGGATAAGTTAGACAAAGGATACAGAATGCATGAAAGTTCTTGGCAGCTTCACATACGAAGTAAATCTTCAGTGTAAATCTTTTGGAATGAATTAATTACACCTGTAGTGAATTTGTGCCTAGCACAGCAAATCAGCAATCAGCAAATCTTTCTTTGCTATAGTGATTTCTTAAGGTTTAGTGTAATTAAAGGCCCTTATATATCAGGTGCATAATAACTACTAAAGATCTTGGCTGTAAAACATTGTAATTCAAAGTAAAATCTGTGTTTGTGGAAGGAAACAAAATGATGTTTTTCTGTTCTAACAAAAAGTCTTTTAATGAGATTATCTATAAAAAGGTAATAATACAGTATGCATTCTCCCCTAGCCAGCCATTTCCCATTGCGATCACAGACTAAAAATTGTTTTAGAATTATGCAAAGTTTGAATGCTTTCATAAAATCATTAGTATTTTTGTGCTATTGGAAACATTTTCAATAGTTGCTTTTATTGAGTAAAAAGTCTATGCCAACAACAAAAGGAAATATTGAAAGAAAAATATATATGGAAAGCCTTTATCAGTAAATAGAATTAGTTGCCTTGCATTTATAAATCAAATAAATGGAAAGTGTGTTGTTATGAAACATGACCATGTCTTATCTGAAGAAGAAAAAGATCACAATGGCATTAGGAAATGCTTGACTTTAGTTACAGGAGCGTAAGGGCACAAGAACAGATGATGGTGCCCTAATAGCCCTTTTTAAGAATGACAGGGCCCCACCATTAGCATCCTTTTATATCCTTGGAAATTGCTCATGCCTCGCTTTTCTGGTTCCTATCTGCCTGACTCTTTTTTATTTCTCTTTCAATTTCATCCGCGCTCGGATAAGCGCATGCTAACACAATATGATTGAGCTGTAAAATGGAACGCTGTCGCCTCTAATCTCTTTTATGTAGATATGGAGGTACTTCCACACTCCACTTCATTCTCTCTCCATTGTTGGCCTTTTTAGAATGTGTTGCCGAGTAATGGAGGCTCAGTCAAATATTAGAGCTAGGTTTCACAGGGTGTGATAAGAAGATTATCAGCCCAGCAGTCAGATCTATTGTTGTTCTTTGTGTCAGATTAAAATATTCCGATGTACTGTAACTTCGTTAGGAAAATACTGAAGGTGCTTAGGGAGAGACTGATGCTGCTTCATCTCCTGCCTGATGAGACAAAACCCTTATTAAGTGACCTAAATAAATTGTAAATATATTTCTGAAGCCTCTGCAAGGCTTTTGTTGTACATTGTTTTATTTGATCATATTTTATTTGTATTTACTATATTTTTTTCTTTATCACTTAAGTAAGTATTTGCTGATGGTTGAGTTTCCCATCTTTTGTTTTGGATTTTTGAGAGGATCAATTTCATTTGAAATCTGTTGTATTTAAACTCTTTTCTGATATGGGGTAGAATTCTACTAATATCCAGCCACAGTTTCAGAGTCGTTTAGACACAATCTTTATAATGTAACTATCTCATTGACATTCAGCAAAAACGTGCAATGTTCTTTTCATATTAAGTGGAGGCAGGAAACATTAAGCTCTTAAAAATGTGCATAACAGGAAGCTAAAGACAGAATGTTCTCTAAAAAATTTGCATGCATGAAAAAGCATCAACCAGACCATAGAAATCAACTTTTTGCACTTAAAATGAAAAATTTGTTTTGAAACAGTAAATCAGACTAATACATCAAGAATAACTAGTTACATTATTTAGTAAAACAAGCCTGCTTGTCTTCAACTGTGTCCGTGTTTTGCTAGCAGTAACAGTGTTCAAGGGGAACAGTTACAAACTGATACTGCCACTGGTGCCAGTATTAAAGAAAAAAAAGAAGGGCATGATTTTGATGGAGCAAATCCAAGGATGTTTTGAATATTTTAGTGCTAATGTTAATGTTTTATGAAACATTATTGTTCCAGCATACTTTTCATGGAGGACAATATTTAAGCTTTCCTTTCCAGAGCAGCTCTCAGGGGTATGCTTTAACATTTTAATACTGAACAAGAACGTGATTTGCTGTAGAGTTGTCATTTCCAAAATGCCCTTTACTTGTTATTTGCTCCAGAAGTGCAACCCCATATAGGTAAAAAATACAGGAAAAAAGCTGGCCATAATTACTTTAGGAAAGTTAATGTTCAGGGAAGATACATATGAGCTGAGTATATATGTACCTGTTCTCATGCACATAGTTGTATCTGTATCTACATCTTAGTTAACATACAACAGGCTATTGATGAAAAAGTTCTGAATATTATTTCGTGGTAGTATTTATGTCAGTAGGACTCTGAAGACAGGCTGAAATCCTATGCTGTAGCCTATGTTTTAGCTACATCCAGCATCCTGTTTGTCATCCAGATCCTTCTCTGGA